ATGTCAAATTGTCTTACAATAACATATTCAATACAGGCACGTAGGCGTTCGCTTAGAGACTGGCCAAAGCCAGCAAATGTCAATCACGTCATTCACTACAACCCGCTGGCGCTGCGATCCCGTCCGCGGCGTCTATTCCTCTAATGAAGACCCACTTCGGTGGTGGTGCGGGATGTCCAGGCGCTTTCTGAAACATTATCGGCTTGCTTTTCGTTATCTCTGCGTGCCTGCGACTTCAGTTCCTGCCGAGCGCATTTTTTCAAATGCAGGAATTTTATTGTTAATTACCTCAGGTCGCGTCTTTCACGTCATAGCCTACACGAAGTACGTTTTTAAAAGTCGTTTTAATGCTATTTCTTGACAAACCTTCCTATTGTTGTTGACTTGTGTTTTAATATGTTGGCTAACGTTATATGAAGATGAAGAATTCTGTCAGGCTATTGATTGATTTTCCATTGTTCTGCATTTCCCCAGCTAATGTGAATAAATAAGCTATGCTTTGACCGACGTTGAGTGTATGCTCTTTTTTTATTTCTTTTTTACCACCTAAAATGAAATGATGATAATGCGAGGCAAGTGTGCGGCAAGCAGAATTCATTGAGGGATTTGACAGTGTGATTCATAGATTAAGTATTTCAAATATAGGCTATGCTACGCGCACACACAGTTTTTCAGGGTTACCACCATTTTTCCAACAGGATTTTCAGTCTTTAAAAAAAATCGCTTAAAGTTTGAGTTAGAATAGTTTGCAAAAGCGAGATAACTGTAAAGGCGAACTAGATGAGTTTACCTGTTTGGTGTGATGAAGTTAGATGTCCCGATAACCTCTGTAGTCCTATTTAGACACTCGTTAGCAACCGCTGTTTTCAAGACAAGTAAAAGCTTTAAAAAAGTCACAAGTGAATATTACTAATGAATTTTGTGATGGTATAAAACGTTAAAATACATTGAGCTTGTGGTAAATACTAGGGATGTGCGGGTCTAGTCGACTAGTCAACTAAACGGTAAGTTACAGCTCCTACTAGTCCACATTGAAAACAATAGTCGATTACACGATAGAAAGAAAAAAAAAACAGGATTTTATCATTCACATTACCATCATTTTAACATTGCATTTAAAACATTTTAAATAACAAGTTAAAATAAAACGTTTGAAAAATAATACATTATTTTTAAAAGTTTATCTGGTCAGAAACTAAATTTTTACCTCAGACCTCTCATGCGTTTTCTTCGTGTTAGGAAAACGGAAAAGTTTTGTGTAAACTGTGTAATGTCAAATTGTCTTACAATAACATATTCAATACAGGCACGTAGGCGTTCGCTTAGAGACTGGCCAAAGCCAGCAAATGTCAATCACGTCATTCACTACAACCCGCTGGCGCTGCGATCCCGTCCGCGGCGTCTATTCCTCTAATGAAGACCCACTTCGGTGGTGGTGCGGGATGTCCAGGCGCTTTCTGAAACATTATCGGCTTGCTTTTCGTTATCTCTGCGTGCCTGCGACTTCAGTTCCTGCCGAGCGCATTTTTTCAAATGCAGGAATTTTATTGTTAATTACCTCAGGTCGCGTCTTTCACGTCATAGCCTACACGAAGTACGTTTTTAAAAGTCGTTTTAATGCTATTTCTTGACAAACCTTCCTATTGTTGTTGACTTGTGTTTTAATATGTTGGCTAACGTTATATGAAGATGAAGAATTCTGTCAGGCTATTGATTGATTTTCCATTGTTCTGCATTTCCCCAGCTAATGTGAATAAATAAGCTATGCTTTGACCGACGTTGAGTGTATGCTCTTTTTTTATTTCTTTTTTACCACCTAAAATGAAATGATGATAATGCGAGGCAAGTGTGCGGCAAGCAGAATTCATTGAGGGATTTGACAGTGTGATTCATAGATTAAGTATTTCAAATATAGGCTATGCTACGCGCACACACAGTTTTTTTTTCTTACCATCTTTTGGGGGTTTCTTGCTTTTAGACTAGTCGAGTAGTCGGATACAAAACTTTCGTTTAAACGACAGTCAAATTAGTTGTCGCGCACATCCCTAGTAAATACAAACTTTAGGTTACTACCGTAACCCCAGTTCTCTGATAACATGAAGTGAGGTTTCTCACTATGGGAATGCCCCAGGCGTGACCGATTGCGGAAGCACCAATGACACCACTTCTGCCAACCACGGCAGACCAATCGCTGCAGCGATCAGGGAGTCCCGCCTCCCTCAAACCGCAGCTACCTGCTGTCTCATCATTCTCCACATACAGTATCTCTTCTCCATGCGGGACAGGGAATATTGTGAGATACCTCACTTCATGTTATCAGAGAACCGGGGTTATGGTAGTAACCTAAAGTTCGCTTTCTAAAATTCCTTCAGTATCTCAATATGGGATATAGACAACTCCCGTATTGCCGATATGCTGACGAAGCAGACTAAAAATGACTACGATCTGAATTATACCTCTCTGTCCCAGTACGAGTGGTTAAAAGCAGATCAGTATAGTCTTAAAAACTTGACACTAAAGTGGAATGGAATCCCTCAAGTGATTAATGGATAACATCTCCACTCGCTCCAAAAACCGAGTGGGCAAATGAAGGTTCTGTTACATCTAGTCTGTAGAACCTCACAAAGGTGTGTGGGAGACGCTGACGGCAGACAGGCTTTCCCTTGAATGAGTCTGCCCACGAAACAAAAAGCTGATTGCTTTTGCGAAGTGCCTTGGTTCTTTGCACATATCCTTGCAGAGTCCGCACCAGACATAAACAGTGTAGCCGCTCCTCCTCAGAACATGAGAAAGGTGGCGGATGGAAAGCCATCAGATCCACTGCCTCACCACACCCAGTGTGATCGAATACTTTAGGCATAAACACCGGATTAGTCCTAAAAGTTACCTTTTGACCCCCCAGAGCGAACATCATACATGAGGATTGGACTGATAAAGCGTGCAGTTCACTCACACCCTCTTTGCTGTAGTAAGAGGAAGTAACAGAGCAGTCTTTAAAGAAAGCAGCTTTAAGGAGATGCTCTCAACTGGCTCGAACGGGGCTTTAGAGAGCACGTTCAGGACCACGGACAAATCCCATGGCGGGACCAGCGGCTTTGATACTGGGTGTAACCGTCGCGCTCCTCTCATAAATCGGCAAACGAGAGGATGCTGGCCTATAATACCCGAGTCAAGTCCTATATGACATGCTGAGTCAGCGGCCAAATAAGCCTTAACTGTGGAAAAAGCTCTGCCTTTGTCCAGGAGGTCTTGCAAGAAACATAGCACGTCCGAAATTAGGATGTGGGGATCTGCCATCCCTAAATCCTTCATTCCCTCTACGTCCAGTCTCAAGAAGCCCTTGACGAGAACCCGATGCAAAAAAGGCTTTTCCAAAAACCTTTTTATTTTGGCAACGCATGCCGGGACGGCCGGTATAAATTGTCTCACTGAAAAAAAAGTTTCAAAAAAATAAAGAAAAAAATTGTCTCATTGGTGGGAGACATGACGGGAGCCTTTTCCCGTCGTAGAGGTCTCTATCAGCCCCTTTCATTGCCAGTTGGGATGGCAAATCGATGGACAGCTTATCCACGGTCCAACGACAGACCTCCAGCAGATCTGTGTCCACCTGCACAGGGGAGGGTGAGCTCACATCCTGCGCGCTTGGCGGACGGGACTGATTCGGAGGGAGAATGGCATCCTCGTCTTCGAGGATAGTCGACAGTACCTCGTCATCATCGTCTTCCTCTCCCGCTAAAGAATCTTCAAACAGCAGGGGAAGAACTGGTGGCACACTATCCATCATATCTCCCCACGAGCTTGAGGTCTGTGGACACTTCATGGGTTCCTCTCTGGGTTGAGCAGAGAGGCATGGGTCCGACTTTCCTGTGGCTGCCACTCGGAGTCTCCTTTCTCGGGTTGTAGTCGAGAAAGTCGCACAGTGAGGGCAGCCCTTGGGGTTGGATAGTGCTGCCTGAGCGTGTTTAGCACCCAGACAGGAGATGCAGAGACTGTGAGAATCCTTGTCCGAAATCCACGCTCCACAAGCACAAGGATGAGGAGAACTCCGTGGCTTTCTGGCTCTTTTGAAGTGGCCATGACAGCGACTGCATTCTCTTCATACGGTAAGTCCACCACAACGTGAAAACTTGTACGGAGCTGTGCTGAGAGTAGTGAGCTCTCTCTTTTTTTTTTTTTTTGGAGAACTTGGAGCTGAAAAACTCACCTTAACATGTTAGTTACCCAATTACCCAGTGCGGTCACTCAACGAAACTTTTAAGGAAAAAAATTGCATTTGGGACGTTACCTTGCGGCTTCATCTGTAAACTTTTGAGCAATAATTCCCAAAGTCTGCTGAGGACAGCTTCCGGAAATCTTCCACAGGGAAGAATGACGAGACAGCAGGTAGCTGTGGTTTATATACAGGGAGGCGGGACTCCCTGATCGCTGCAGCGATTGGGCTGCCGTGGTTGGCAGACGTGGTGTCATTGGTTCTTCGGCAATCGGTCACACCTGGGGCATTCCCATAGTGAGATACCGAACGATTGTTAGAAAAAGAACCTTATTTCAGGCATTTAAAATCAGGTCGATGGGACCGGAAGTGTTAAAAAAAACTAATTTCCGGTGTCGTGCCAAAAATTGATTGTCTGCCAAAAACTGATTGCCATCTGTAATCACTTTTTGGCAAGTGTAAAACTGCATTTTATGGGTTTTATTGAACATTCAAAGGTATTTCAACAGGTAAAAAGGACTGCATGAGCTAAATGACTTGATTGCATTCATGAGGGTTATATTTGACAGATTATAGCTCATGCAGTCCTTTTTACCTATTGAAATAAATACCCAACAAAACCCATAAAATGCAGTTTTACGCCTGCCAAAAAGTGATTAAAGACGGCGATCAGTTTTCGGCAGACAATCAATTTTCAGCACGACACCTGGAACACAAAACTTTGACAAATACAGCAAAAGCACTGAAATATCAACACAATAGGAATATTTATTGGTAATTTCAACAGTAATTGATACACTTTTGTCATACACACGCCACACATACAGAACAACCAGCTCTAGAGTGATTCCTTCAAATAAAATATTAGAAATCACTGCGGATATCACAAGTTAGGTCCAACTATTTTTTTCCACACAAACCAAAAGTTAGATTAGCACTTTTTAAAAATAAAATATTTAGAATAAAATCACAACATTTTAAATAAAAATCACCATATTTTGGGGACAGTAGCTTAAAGCCTCAGATCAATTAAGACAAATTAAAATGAACATTTTAATGTTCTGAGGGGACTTTTGAAATTGTACTGTTTCTCTACAAGGGAAAAGCAAATCTGACGTGGCATTGATAAAATTAAGAAAATAAATCATTTAAATGCAAACAAAGAGGTTTACTGTCTAACAAGAAAGTACCATGTTTTTTTTGGACATAGCATGGTAAAATAGTATCTTTTAACAAAGAAATCATTACCATCTGATATCCAACTGAACTATAGTACAAGTACTTTTTGTACTGTTTTCACTCCCTTTTGAGCTTGTATTTAAAAAGCTGTTTTATGCATGCTGTACACCTGAAATGACAGCTATTGTAAAACTACTGAATTGCAGTAAAGTGATTGCAGATATATAGCCCTATGCATGCGCTAAATGAATGAGATTTACACACAAACACAAAGGAAAACCACAGAGATGACTTGCAACAAGATACACGTTTACTTTTCTCCATACTAATATATACACCAACACACACACTCACACACTGATGTAACTCCACAGTATTTTGTCTTAATGTCAGCACAAAGATAGTTTAACACAGAAGGTGAGGCAGAGCAATCATCCATACGTGGGTTATGATAGTGTGCAAAATCAGCATAGCACATTGAGACGCTCTCCACACACACACACACAGTCATTCAACTATATACAAGAGATAGGGTTTCGAAATATTGCACTTGCTGGCCCATTGCACCCCACATACTGAGGGACGCATAAATTAACAAATAAGATTATACAGATACAGGTATCTAAATAGAAATGCCATACAATTTCATGCAGGGATAATGCTAAACGTGGCTTTTGGTGGGGAAACGAGGTGGGTTTCTTACTGATTTTCTTTATTCTGAGGACACATCAATGAACTATTAGCTATATACGTACCGGCGTATTCAGTCTGTGACCGTAATACGTTTTTAATAATGCCGGATATTGTCGGCCTAATGTTATATAAACTTTATTTTTTTGTACTACGCTCACAAAACCACACATATCTACAGACCACACCATGTAGTTTAAGGGCTGTGTTTTCATTTTTTAACTTAATTCTACTTATATTATTATACATCACATTGAAAGTTGGTCAATCTCTAGGGACGAGAAACAAATAAAACCATCTTGAACTAGAAGAAGAATCTCATGAAACTGGTCAGCAACATGTCCAGGTTATATTTCAGACCAAAATAATAAATATTTAAATTATATATATATGAATATATGAAAAACTGCTTTTTCTTTCTATGTTTCATTTTGAGGTGAAATATAATCTGAATATTGTCATATTTCAAGAAGTTTGCCCAAGAACTGCTCTTCCTTAGAAATGTTATATTTCTGGCTCAAAAATGAAAAAACTTCCATCCATGGCCGAAGTCATTTAAGGTTTGTCGGATGAAATATTGATGAGTGACTCACTTCTGAAAATAGCTGCACGACACATTTCCTTGGCTATTGCTGCATCATTTTACAAGACAAGCTCCAGCGAGCTTCGACCCGACTCAGGCAACAGTGAAGCGGTTTCCTTATAACATCTAAAGTCACTGAATCCTCTCCGGCCATGAGCATAAAACAAGATAAGAGCAGGGACAGCAAATCACATCCTCCACAAAGTAGCTTTTTAGCCACCAGAGAAAAACAACCGACGACAGCGATAAACAGAAAAGAGAAATGGAGAATAAAGGGCTTGGGGAAAAATACAAAATCCACTTCACCTAGAAGAACGTTTCGTTATCAGACACACGCAGCTCATGAAGCACATTTACTTTTCTTTTTCTCACTGTAAAGTCTGTTTGCTTTGAATAAATAGATAAATATTTCACTTCATCAGCGTGAATTCATTTACAATGATCAAACTAAATGTCTAGAAACATTAAATGCACATTTTTCCTCCCTGTATTGAACAGCTACTTAAATCCATAATATTATATTCATCTGACTGAGGTATATACAAACCTATATACACTAGATAGATCATGTATTCATATAGATGACGTAATCTTTAATAATCTACGGTACACATATACACACACTAGAGTTATGCAGCTGATATCACTGATGGGAAATTTCATTTAGATTAATATGGCATGAATTCCTGATCTACAAAACTGGCTGAAAAGAGTGTGTTTGTGTGTATTAATGCAATTTTGTAGGACTAAAACAAAATCTGGCCAATCCTACATTAGCAACTGTTGCCAGACAGGATGTCCTGTGTGATTATGTAATTATATTTACATTTTTGAAAATTTAAAATGTGTCAATTTAGAATCATCCAAAAATATTTGAGAAAAAATAAAATAAAATTCACAGTTTGCAAAAATATCCAGTTTACGCTCATTTGTAACTATGTTTTTATTAGATTTTTTATTTATTCGCAACTCTGGAAGTGAAGTTTAGATATTGGTTATTACTTAATCATAAAGAAACTAATTTGCAACTACGTTTTTATTTGTAACTGTAATTACGTTTATTCGTAACTAAGGGGCTTAGTGAAAGGTCAGTCTGATCGTGCTCAAAGCGTTCCAATTTGTGATTACGTTTACTCGTAACTGCGAAATTACATTTATTTGTAATTAAGGGGGTGGACCTTCGCGAAAGATCAGTTGCTATCGTGCTCAAATTCATACATTTAACGAAAATCTCTAGTTTATTCTTAATTATTAATGTTTTTAGTCGCAACGACATTTGTTAAGCTCCAACTTTGGTGGAGAATTAAAGTTAGTTAGATCCAATCCAATAAAATTTCCAGTTTATTTTAAACAAACTCGCAACTTAGTTTTTATTCGTAACTTTAAATGAAGTTTATATGTAACAAAAGGAGCGGAGCTTACGGAAAGGTCAGTTTGATTGTACTTAGTCATAAAGGGTTCACAAAATTTTTTTTTTTTATTCTAAACTAATTAGTAACTATATTTTTATCCATGTAATTAAGTTTATTCATAATTACAAAATTAAATTTATTTGTAACTAAGAGGGCGCAGCTTAGTGAAAGGCTCAGTTTAATTGTACTTAGTCATAAAGAGTTCACAAAAATCTCCAGTTTATTCTAAACTAATTCGTAAATACGTTTTTATTCGTAACTACATTTACTAGTAACTAAGGGGGCTGGGCTTAGCGAAAGGTCAGTTCGGTGGTGCTCAAAGCCATTAGTTCATAAACAGCCGCTGCATGTATGTGGACGAAGTCTTGATGAATTAAATAACAGTGCTGTAAAGGCTGTTAGGACTTTGATTGATAGTAAAGAAAACAGAGTGTCAGAATGAACTAGGCACCGTATAGACGGATGTGACTCTAGTGCAAAGGTGCTGGAACAAAACAGGCAAAAGTAGCATTCGTACACAACACATTCTTGCGTCCTGGGTTCGTTTGGTCTGTTTTCACATGCATCAGACAGATGTCTTTTGCCGCTGCATCTTATCATTTTAAAAAGTGCCTCAAGACCCCTGCATCATGGCTTTATGTTTTGGAATACGAGAACTTGTCCTGTTTGAACGCCTCCTAGTGGTGCAACAGACTCACAGGCAAAATATACCAAAATCTGATGACCAAAGAAATGCAACATATTAATATTTTTCAAGCTATGTTTATCCATACTGCTTTTTAAAACACTGAAAAACTGCTTGCCGTTGATCAAGACTGCATCCATGTGACAGCTTTGTTTCCATTGGGTGTAAAGGGTCACATGACTCCTGACATGCACTGATCAGATTCAAGTTGTTCCAGCACCTGTATTCTATGACATTAAAGGATATATGCATCTATCTAAAGGTGTTACACACACAAACACACTTATGTTACTATGTAAACAGAGCACTAACAAGCACAGTTGGGCTGCTGTAGTGGAGGAGGGTTATCCGTTAACCGGGCCGTTCCCTGGGTGCCTGTGGTTACGGCGGGGTCAGTCTCTAAACTCTCTGACATCTTGTCGCAGATTATATCCACCAGACGCTCAAAGGTCTGCTTCACGTTGATGTTGTCCTTGGCACTCGTTTCAAAAAATTCAAAACCTGGTAGACAGAAACGACACCAAAACACAGTTTAGATGTCAGAAAACCTAGCGAGAAAATTATATTCTACATATATCTCACTCCATCAAGGCAGTTTTACTGGTATTGATATTGGTGAGGGCAATCCCACATGCATTTCAAAAAATGGGGGGGGGGGGGGAAACATCCGCCAAAATGGCAGAAAAACAAAACCAATTTTCATTAAGTATTATATCTATTCAATATATGCATATATTTGTTAAACATAAATAGTTAATATAACTAATATAAATTAAATACTAATGTAACAAACAATAATATAAATATAGTATAAATAGCAATCCCAGAACATAATTCTGCAAGCTTAGTGAAAACAAATCCATCATGTCAGAAAAACAAGACAAAATTATATTGTGTGTGTGTTATTTTTTCAGTAAGCTTACATATATACAGTATGTGTGTGTGTGTGTGTGTGTGTTCAATCAACAAATTTCTTATTTATATATTTATTAAAAGTATTAATTTAATAGATAGTAACTATTAAGTAATTTTAAAGTTTATTATTCTACATAAATAGTTATATATATATTATATATATATATATTAGGGGTGTAACGATACACGTATTCGTATTAAATCGTTCGGTACGAGGCTTTCGGTTCGGTATGCATTACAAACCAAACGATTCGTTGGACTAATCCTATTACATTTGGAAAATAAAAGAGCTTGTGAAAGTGTGAAATATAATGTTCTCAGTGCCGCTGTGCTCAACAAGGCAGCCCAAATGACGTAACAGGCAACAGCCTTTAATTAAAATATGAACACTGCAGTCATCAATAAAAATCAATGAAATAAAAAGATCAGCCTATATTTAAAGCACTGACTTTCAAAAACAACCTGTTTAACATGAAATACGTTTCTTCTCATTTTTTCCCCCACTATGTACAAGTCACAAGAGAAATATTAAGGGAATAAATGAAAACAGTTAGCTATATACCGTTATCAGCATATGTTGAAGTAGATGTCTCTCGTCGTCTCTGAGAGAATATGTGGCGTCAGATGCAGAATGTTCGGTCATTCCGTTTTTACTTTCACTTTCTGCACAGTGAATTGATTGAGATTAAGATGTTCACCGGCGTAACTCATGCGCAAAGTTTGCACATTGCTTGTGTGATATCCATTGGCTCACCTTCGTGGTTTAAAACAGAAATATTTCCAACATTGCCATGTAACCAATTACCCCCGTACTGAACATACCAAACAGAACCGTGACACCACTGTATCGTATCGAACCGAACCGTGAATTTTGTGAACCATTACACCCCTAATATATATACATATATATATATATACTGTATACATACATACAGTGGGGAAAAAAAGTATTTAGTCAGCCACCAATTGTGCAAGTTCTCCCACTTAAAAAGATGAGAGAGGCCTGTAATTTTCATCATAGGTATACCTCAACTATGAGAGACAAAATGAGGGAAAAAAAATCCAGAAAATCACATTGTAGGATTTTTAAAGAATTTATTTGCAAATTATGGTGGAAAATAAGTATTTGGTCAATAACAAAATTTCATCTCAATACTTTGTTATATACCCTTTGTTGGCAATGACAGAGGTCAAACGTTTTCTGTAAGTCTTCACAAGGTTGTCACACACTGTTGCTGGTATTTTGGCCCATTCCTCCATCCAGATCTCCTCTAGAGCAGTAATGTTTTGGGGCTGTCACTGGGCAACACGGATTTTCAACTCCCTCCAAAGATTTTCTATGAGGTTGAGATCTGGAGACTGGCTAAGCCACTCCAGGACCTTGAAATGCTTCTTACGAAGCCACTCCTTCGTTGCCCGGGCAGTGTGTTTGGGATCATTGTCATGCTGAAAGACCCAGCCACGTTTCATCTTCAATGCCCTTGCTGATGGAAGGAGGTTTTCACTCAAAATCTCACGATACATGGCTATTTTTTATATATATATATATATATATATATATATATATATATATATATATATATATATATATATATAGATAAAATATCAAGGTGCCAGAATATTGATATCACACAATATTGGTTATTACTAAATATATTAAATAATTTTTTATGTATTTTTATTATTTTATCATATTTATGTTACATATATTTTATTTATTTTTATATAAGAAATGTATTTAATAAATAATTTGAATAAATAATTAAGCATTTATTATTAATAATAATAATTACATTTAAAAACTATAAAGTGTATTTTGTCCTTATTAAAGAATGGCATTTTTAGTTTAGTAACATGTCACCATCAAATGATTCAGTTGTTTGCTGAGTCTCATTCACATTTCACACAAAGTTAGGGTTAGGATATATATACATATAGCTGCTGCCTTTTACAAATCGTGACAATCCCTAATGAAATGTAATTGATTTGACGGTCTGAAAATGGCAGGGGTATGTCCTCTTTCACACCAAACATGCAGTAAGTGTGTCTATTTTCACCGTTCAATGTTAGTCTGAGCCGTTCGCACATACTGGTGTCATCCAATTACATGCGTTTAATTATCGCCCGAGTTCAAAGCTGCGATTCCCTCCATATGTTCTAATTTATGCACAGTGAAGATATGCTAACATGAGAGCCGTCTAAGGTATATATTCCATCACAGTGCTCATATAGGAGCAAAAATTAGGCTTTTTTATGGACGGTGAGATTTATTTAAAGTAATTTTGTGCTGTAATTACAACCAGTGGGTCTTTGCTCAAAAATAGGTAGTGTCGGTTCTGATCAACTTAAGGATAGAAAAAGGAAAATACAAAGATAAATTTGAATATGCAATCAACAATAGAGCACAGCACAATAAACAGACTTTCAACTTAAAAAAAAAGGAGAACACACTTCCCATCCTTTGTTGATGATGTCAAAGGTTATGCATCCAATTAAAATCAGTATTTTGATGCAAATTTATCTGTAGCCATCTTGTAGGTTGCATGCCACACTCTCATCTTCAAAAAACATGAATAAATCTATTTAACCTAAAAAAAAATTTAAAAAAACATGACAGACTGACTGTTCAGTCTCTATTTAATGTCCAATGCAAAATCTGGGTCTTGAAGCAAAACTAGTTCAAATGAAATCATGCTGCCCACCTGACTGGCTCCATAGGTCCAGAAGTTTCTAATTGGTCTCTGGAGGAATCAAACTCAGTTTTTCGGATGAGGTTAGGACGAGTGAACTTACCCAGCTGCTCTGCCAGCAGTCTGCCACTATCTGAAGACACGACTCTCTCCTCTTCCATATCACACTTATTTCCCGCCAGGACGACCTGCGCGTTGTCCCAGGAGTATGTCTTTATCTGGGTTGACCTAGTTAAAAACAAACAAGGATGTTAGGATTCAGTCTTACAATGCAATTATGGCCAACATACAGGTATGCATATGAGTGAGCACCACGGCAAGAACATGCTGCATCATGCATGGCCTATTTCCACACTTCTTGATGTATTGCCATATATGCACACGGAGGCCCAAACCTGCGGAAATAAATAAATAGATAACAGGAAAAATAATAATGGAAGAAATGGCTTAATAAACAAATGAAATTATTTTTATATAAAATTTAGTCTAAATTTTTTCTACTATTTTTTTTAACAATGTATATTTATATTCGTTTTAACTTTCTTTTTTCATTTGAATTAATTAATGACTATTTTTATTTATTCTTATTTATATGTATTATTATTATTATTACTGTTATTATTATTTTAATAATTATTATTAATTTGAATAAGTTTTGGCCTCCATATATGCAGGGCTCCATCTTTCCGTCTGAAAACACATCGCCCAATTATTTTATACATGTTAACGTTATTTTTTATTCTTTCGTTTATTTTTTCATATTTAATTATTTTTATTTATTTATTATTTATAACAATTTATTTTGAATTTCTTTAGGTTTGGGCCCCATATATGCAGTGCCCCATCTTCCCATCTGCAAACACACCATCCAATTATTTTTATTCTTAATTTATTATTTTTTCATTTATTTTTGTACATTTTCATATTTGTTTATTTTTATATTTATTTATTTTAAATTTCTACAGGCTTAGGCCTCCATCCTCTTGTCTGCAAATAAATATATTTTTTATTACGCCTATTTGTAAATTCTATTTAAATTACATTTTTTTATAATTTATTATTATTAAAAAAAATATTTTTTATTATTGATTCATTTTAAAATGTATTTTTAAAATTATTTACAATTTCTTTATTTATTTCACTATGATTTATATTTATTTTTCTGCAGGTTTGGGCCTCCACATTTGCAGGGCTCCATCTTCCCGTCTGCAAGCACATCGGCCGTTTAGAACGAATGGTTTATACACATCTCAGTTTTTAAAGGATTGCTTTGGTGTCATAGCAACAGCAGACAGCTGGTGCAGATTCAAAGGGGGTTCGTCACTGCAGCCCACGACACATTACAGTGTTTGCTCATGTATGTCGTAGCGATGCTGCAGAGACTGTGGTAAGAGTTGTTTCTGTGTTTCCCCAGCGTTTTCACATACGTCTGGTTTAATTAGGTGTCAGTTCACTGACCGCAGCTGGAGTCTCTTGAGTAAAGCCAGACTCAAGTTTCTTCTCTGAGCTCAATTCTGACGATAAGAGAACTTGTCACTAGAGCGTCCACTCTTTAGCTTGCAGAACTACAGGCTACTCATCATTTCAGGGAGTTATAGCTACCTTTTTGAAAAACTAGTTAGCTAAATCAACTGTACATGGCAAATTACTACAAAAAAGGGGTGTAATATCTTTGTAATTTTAGAACTACATGTACATTTACATTAGATACAATTACATAAACCGATAAATACAAACAAAAATAAATACAAATACAAATAAATGTTTAATTTATATTATTAATACAGAGATGAACAGACGTACTTAGCTAAATATTTATCTAAAAAATATTTAAAAATAAAAACTTCTGGGAAAACCTATGACTAAAAGGAACCAGTTTATTTATATATTTATTTTATTTTATTTATTTGTTCACTGAATTTAAGCTACTTAAGAGAACATTCTGCTCATTATTACGGGTTTTGTCATCATTTACTTTAGCATTTCTTTATTTCTATTTCGTTCTTTATTCTCAGCACTTCAGATCAGCATTAAAATAAATAGCAAATCCCATAATGCATTTCAATAAGGCTTAGTGAAAAAAAGAAATCAAAATAGATGACAGGACAAATGACAAAGACAAATATATTTAGGTATTAATATTATATTGCATTCAATATATTTATGAATGTTATATTTATTCAATGTATTAATATAAATATTTAACATAAATATCACTACAATGAAAAACAATATAAATATCAATATAAATAGAATATAACATTATTTATTACTAACAATATTAGTTTTTTTATTAATATAGTATATTATCAAATACATTTAATAGATGAAAATATATTTTTAGTCGATAAATATATTTATTTATTTGTATTAATGTTTTTAATTATATAAAAAAATAGAAAGTGTATTATATTCTTATTTTACTGTTTGTTTTCATAACATTTCATCAAAATATACCCAAAACACATACCTATAGTCCTATACTTAAGAAAAACAAACAAAAAAACTATATTAATCTAAATAAAAATTATATATATATATATATAGTGGTGATATAAAAAAGGCATTGCAAATAATTTTTTTATATTACAAAAAATTCCCATTCGGGTTTAAAAGTTTTGTTGGTCACATATCTTTAAAGTTCTTTGTAAAAACCTACTGCTATTATATTTATCCCCAATAATGAGTCACTAAAGCTCGTGGTGACGTGTAATGAGATATTTCTCGGAACATTTTCTCTTTCCTTCAGGCTGTCAGACTCACGGCGTTTGTGTTGGTGGAACAATAACATACATACAGTTCTCTTAAACACTTCAGTTTTGTTCTGCTAACACACACACACAATCTGTTACGCAGAAATGCTTCAAATACTGCAGAAGCGGCCCTGCGTGATCACTGTATGGCCGTGAGGATTTGTCCAGGGATTTTGGCTGCGATCGCATCTCCTCCTCCCACACGGCTCTAGGTCACTCACCAGTCCTGCACCGCTCCAAACGACTCCTCGTTAGTGATGTCGTACATGAGAATGAAGCCCATGGCGCCACGATAGTACGCCGTGGTGATAGTGCGGTATCTCTCCTGCCCCGCAGTATCCTGGAAAATACACACAAAACAGCTTTCTTAGTTTGGACACTCATTCGAAAGACACTTTTTTTGATGGAAGCCTATTTCCGCCACAGAATAAAATCAGGAAAAAAAAAGAAAAAAAAGAGAATTTTGAGATATAAACAGAATTGTGAGATATAAACTCGCAATTGCAAGAAAAAAGTTGGAATTCTGTGGTTATATTTGCAATTCTGTTAATATTTAATTTAATTTTATAATTTTATGTTTATATTTTATATATAAACCATATCACCCTGTAGCCCAAGACTGGTTGCCCACTGAAGCTAAGCAGGGCTGAGCCTGGTCAGTACCTGGATGGGAGACCTCCTGGGAAAACTAGGTTGCTGCTGGAAGAGGTGTTAGTGAGGCCAGCAGGGGGTGCTCACCCTGTGGTCTGTGTGGGTCCTAACGACCCAGTATAGTGACGGGGACACTATACTGTCAACAAGCACCGTCCTTTGGATGAGACGTTAAACCGAGGTCCTGACTCTCTGTGGTCATTAAAAATCCCAGGATGTCTTTCGAAAAGAGTAGAGGTGTGACCTCGGCATCCTGGCCAAATTTGCCCATTGGCCTCTGACCATCATGGCCTCCTAACAATCCCCATATCTGTTAATTGGCTTCATTACTCTGTCTCCTCTCCACCAATAAGTTGGTGTGTGGTGGGCGTTCTGGCGCACTATGGCTGCCGTCGCATCATCCAGGTGGATGCTGCACACTGGTGGTGGATGAGGAGATACCCCCTGATAATGTAAAGCACTTTGAGTGCCTAGAAAAGCGCTATATAAATGCAACTAATTATTATTATTATTAAAACAAATATTATTGTATATAATATTATATAATTATAATTGTATATCTTATATAAATTGTATTTTACATTATTACATTATAAATTACTATTTATTATTATTAATATAAATTATTAGATCATATAAATGTATATATTACATTTTAACTATTTTATTCATTAAAAAAATATATATATATATATATATATATATTTTTTTTTTTTTTTTTATTTGCAATTCTGAGAAATAAATCAGAACTGAGAGAAACTCGAAGTCAGAATTGTGACATATAAACTCATAATTGAGGGGAAAAAGTTCAGATAAAAAGTCACAATTACCTTTATTTTTTATTCTGTCGCATAAATGGGCTTCCATACTTTTCATCATAGTTTACACCAAAATACAATAGTACAATTAACATTACAACTTACTATTGGTCATCTCTGGCATCAAAATATGAATCAATCTTCTTTATTAGTTTACTACTCACTTACTTACTCACTTATGTTACTATGATTTTACAGCAGTAACTATGGTATTTTGCTAGAATTTATGAATCCTGTATCTATGACCTTTCAGTAGTTATTGGAGTATTTTTTACAAGAAAATACTATTTCAGTCACTCTACTTAAACTTGCCATTGTACTTACTAGGCATTTCTGAGTGAAAGTTTCTAAGTAAATTCTACACCGATTTTTTTTCCAATGTACACTGTGTAAAAAAAAAAAGTTTGAGTATTGGAGTATCTTTACAAGCACATAGTATTTCAGTCTTTCTACTTCAAAATGTCATGTTTAATTTGATGTGTTACTTTGCCATTTGTTTGTAATTATTTGTGAAATGTATTAGCAATTTCTAGGTGGAAGTTGTTTCAAAGTAAAATCTACAGCAATTACAGTGTAGTTAATTATTGTATAAAAAACCTCAAAGCAAATTTGACATTTCATTGAAGATATATGTATTTCTTATCATTTAAACATTCATTTAACATTTCAGCAGGCATGATAAAGGCGAGTCATTTAACATTTAACGTCTTCCAGATTGTTCCCAAATTTAGCAGGGCCAAGGAGGAAAAGCGGAGACCTGCCAGGGGTTACCATGGCGATCGAGCAGTTCGGCAGGAAGCTTCAGTAGCGCAGGCTGGGTGGGTGGATGCAATAGAGCAAATCATGGACCTTAAAGGGTCGTATTTTACACTTTTGTAGCATGTCATTTCTCCCAGCTGTCCAGTTATAATGTTAGTCAAGGATTCTCGCATTACAAACAACAGAATTTAGTTTAAATGACCATGACCAGCTTTGTTATATTGTTATGATGGTTGTTGATCAAGTTGCTGAATACTGTGTAGCATTTGGACCAATCAGACACACAACTTTTTGTTATATTTAACAAATAATATCGAACTCCCCGTCACCTAACCAAATGGCCAATTACGAGGGTCTATGGACCCTTCCCCCGAAATGCACCTAACACCTCAGAAAGGCAGAACAGGCATCTGGTTCCATGGTAACCAATGCTGATATCACTGGTTTTATGGCCTAAAGGAATGCAGGCAGACAAACTCCCTCATTTTCCTCATAAGAAAGACACATAATGCCCAGAGAAATGGCAAGGGAGGAGCATCCCTTGAAACCGGTCGACACCCCTAGAAGCAGCCAGACAACGTTGGATTGAGCAGCGGGCCCACCTGCCCAACAGCGAAAGCTCTACCAACACAACTCAGGCAAGCTCAAGTCGGTGCCGCCACAAGAGCCAAGCGACACCGCAAACATCAGATTTCTAGTGACGTTCGGGCAGAACAGAGAGCTAACAACCACCTGCTGCTCTCCTGCCATCATCACTAGGTCAGTCTGAAACTCTCTGCACACTACAAAATCTCCATAACAATTACCTGCAATCCCTGGAACCACCTGCACTCTCACCAGTGAGAGTCTAACCCGGCTGTTCCACATCGTGGGTACCACGGATAGCCTACTGGCTAACAACATCGACAAACAACCATCTTACCCAGACTAACTCAACAGGTGACACAGCCTCGACACCTGCTGCACAAGCTCGAGGACCCTCACCTTGCTACAGCCTACATCACCACAGCACACCACCTGACAGCATCCACCACGGCACCAACAGCCAAAAAGCCACCACTGGCTCCCAGCCGTGAGTGGCAGGGGGGTGTTTGATTGTTCTGCACCTTGACATCGCTCGTTGTTGTCTATTCTATGGACAACAACGTTCGAAAGGGGGGAATTATGTAGCATTTTGACCAATCAGACACACAACTTTTTGTTATATTTAACAAATAATATCGAACTCCCCATCACCTAACCAAATGGCCAATTACGAGGGTCTATGGACCCTTCCCCCGAAATGCACCTAACACCTCAGAAAGGCAGAACAGGCCTCTGGTTCCATGGTAACCAATGCTGATATCACTGGTTTTATGGCCTAAAAGGAATGCAGGGGATAAACTCCCTCATTTTCCTCATAAGAAAGGCACAAATGCACAGGAGAAACTGACTTTTCTACTAATTAATTCATAGGAAAACCTTTTCTTTGAATGAACACACATTTTCTTCAGGCCATTGTGTGTATTATTGCTGTTTTGTATTAATCTGTTGTATTATAGACTATTTTTATTCGTGCTTACGATAAACCACTCATTCATATAAGTAACTCTACCATGTCTAGTATCTATGAATTCGTCTTCGGATGATCTAACTGAGAGTGCATATTACATGCTGTTACCTCTGCAACATATTGATGTTCTAAGAATCGGTCCTAATTTGTGCCTCAACACTCCAGCGAATTACATATGCAAGATACCATGCTTACAGACAAAGAGTCATAAAACTCCCCAGTATTTCCAACCTCCTGCTTGGGATTTCAGCCTTCCTCATTGGACAAACCCATCTTGAGAGGCGTGAATCTCTGCAGTCTTTAAAAGGCCACGCTCCATGTGACACGCCCTGTTGGGTGGTTCAGTGAGATGCTAAGATGAAGATGTGAGAAACGCTCCAGGATACCAAAGCTCGTGCCAGGCTCCGGCCTAGTCCTTTTCATTCATCAAGTGACTCTGACTCAAACTGGTTCTTTTCATCGACCCGAATTCAGCAAAGATCTACGGGAAGCTTTAAGATTTGCATCAGGAATCTCTTTCAGACCGCCGAGACTCGCTAAGTTTCAAACTTAGTCTTATTAATTGATACATTAAGTATCAGTTACACCTTTTTACAAAGGTGTGTTTGAACTCAGTATCTGACATATCCCTGAAGGCTTTGATCTGTTGAATATACATGCAAAGTGTTCCATAAAATCCATTCTTTATGCCTCTTTCTATGCTGAGTTAAACTTTAACCCTTTCCTATACCAACTGTATGTGTGTGTGTGTGTGTGTATGTGTATGTTAGACCGGCTTAATGTGTTTATGTAATATGTTAGACTAGTTTAAGTGTTTATGTAGTTAATAAAACCTTACTTGTATCACACTTGACGTGTTCATTGTTTACTCATAACCGGAGTCAATAATCATGCAGATTTACGTTACAAGCTTATAGAATTGTACAGTAAGAAAGTTATTTCCCTTAACCAGGAAATTAACGTCTTAGAATTGACAAGACAGTTGACCCTGAGTGGTCAGCTAAATATCTACAGTGGATCTAAAATATGAATAGTTAATTATAACTAGTTATGGTTAATTATTCATATTTCCCCATGAGCTGATTCGCTACAACTGAATGGCTATTGATATGTAAAAGTGGGCGATCATATGTTAATAAGCTCATAATGAGCTCAGTTTCAACCCCTCCACATAAAATGATAGCAAAATGAGTATAAAAGAGACATTTTTAGATATTATTTTTAATAACCTTTTTAATAACTGCTTTACACAAAATTGCACAAAAACACGTGAAAGTATTTATAGTACATAGAAATTAAACCATGTTAAAAATAATAATAATAATAATAATTGCGGGATACTAAATTGAGATACTATTATAGTTTTTATTAACACATTTTTATATTTTAATTTAGTTAAACGGTTTTTTTTTTTATTGTATTAGGTTTGTTTTTTATTTATTTAAATTAACTGAAAAATAGAAAAGTTCCAGTTCAGTTTTGTTGTGTATTTTTGTCATTTTTATTAGTTTTCATTATGTCAATGTAGTTTTTATTAATTTTATTTCAGTTTTATTTTTA